CCTACCTTGGAGACAAAGCTAACTGTACTGAATGAAAAAAGGGTAGGCAGAGATCAAGGAGGCTGATGAAGTGAAGTTCATAGGCTTGTCTGTGAAAAAATGTTTTGTAAACTCAAACAAGCACTGAAACTTGCTAACCTCATCATCAGAAGAAAGCTTCCTACAGCATAAAACACACCGAATGGATTCAGACCATGCCATGACAAGAAATGCAAAGCCTGCCAACATGTCTCCAGTACCCCACAATTACTACACCCTAAAACAGAACCATCCCCATTCCTGGATCTTACAGCTGCACCTCCAGAAACATTGTATATCTCATCCAGTGCACTAAATGCCCTGATGGAAAATGGGTAGGAGAGACCAAACAACAACTGCGCACCAGAATGAATGCACACTGGACATCTATTAAAGACAAGAACACACAATTACCAGTGGGGGCACATTTCTCACAAGAAAACCACTCTCTCCAATCTCTCAGTCCTGATCCTCAAAGGGAATTTACAAAACACTTTTCACAGATGAGTCTATGAACTTCACTTCATCAACCGCCTCGATACAAAAACTCATGGACTCAATACAGACATTGGAATGCTGACACACTGTAACCTGCTAGGCATCTACGGCCCATGCCTCGCAGATGGCATCCTTCGCCTCCACCTTTGGCTCCCCTTAGGCCTTGGCCCCACCTTCAGGCCAGTTGGAATCATGAGCCTCTTGCTCTGGGCATTCCTAGCGGTGGGCCCCTGGCCCTTTGATCCCCACTTTGAGTCCTGGCCCCAGCACAGACCAGTTGAGGGTACCTTACGTCAGATCTGAGCCACCTTCCTGTTCTCACCCTCACAACTCCACTGCAACCAGTAAGGCTCAGGCCTCTCAAAGCTCTTACAGGTCTGGGCTTTCCCCAGCCAGAACTGTGTGCATGCATGTGGTGGCCGGAGGTTATAAGGTGCCTCCTACCTGCTTTTCACCAGGGCGGTTCATAGTCCTGGCATTTCCTGGGGCTGCCATGCAGCTGGCAGTCCCACCACGCCTCCATACCCTGGCAGGGTGCTGTTTTAGATCATGGCCAGGACCTGGGGCCACCTCCTTCCTCATAGCTCCAGCCCATACCTCCAAGTTTGTCCAGGCATAAGAGCTCAGCAGAGACATGTTCTTCGCTTGCTCACTGGTGAAAAACTAAACTGCCACCTCTAGCTCTGAGAGTAGAGCATTAAATGGTTGTGAAAGCAACTAAAAAAAGGAAATAGATGCAGAGTGAGGAGGGTGGCACTCACTCCATCTGCATGTGGAGCTTGGGGAACCCCAGCAGTGGGAGGTTAACCTTCAGAAACACCAGCTGCTCCACCAAACCAGAATCCAAGGAGGTACAGTGGGGTGTCACATCCCCAGCAATGCTGAACACCCTCTCACTCAGAACACTGGTCAGTGGACAGGAAAGGTGCTCCGAGGCAACTGACCAGATCCTGCCACATCTGGCTGCAGGTTGACCAATAGGCCAAGGGGTTGCATTGCAGCAGCTCCATGTCCTTGGTGAGATAGGTAGCCTCGGTGGCTTCCATGCTACCTGCCAGATGGTGGGGTCTGGTGCCTTTGGACCTCAACATTAAAGCCATGCCCACGGCCCACAGTGGCAGCAGCTGTGGTGAAGGAGATTGGCTGGTGCTTGGAGTGCTGGCATGGGAGAGTGGATCCCCCTCTTCTACATCCTCCCAGATCTGCCCTTCTGGCCTCCCTGACTCTGTTCACCAGTACCTCCATTCAGTGATTGAGGGTTTTGCTGCTGCAGATGCTCCCCTTCACTCTTGGGTCACACGTGCATGCCAGCATGTGGACCATATTGGACTGCAACGGATCCAGCCATTTTTGATGCCCTCTTTCCACCACTTCACCAGTGCCTGCACCTCTAGTGAAAAGTAGCTTGCCCCAGCCAGGAACACTGATCCCCTGGAACTTCTCCATTTGATTCTCAAGCTCCTTCACTATCGGAATCACCTGGCTAAGGAGGGCATTGCCAGTGCTGAGGCTCTCAGTGGCCTCAAGCAATGACTTGAGGACCACCAAGATGGTATCCCACTCAGCTCTGTTAAGGGGGCCACTAATCCCAATCTCCCCGAGAAAGGCCATCTCACAAATTGCCTTCTGTTGCTTGACCAGCCTTTTGAGCATCAGGTATGTGGAGCTCCACCGAGTCTCCACATCCTGCTTGATTTTATGCTCCGCTCTGCCTGTTTGTCCCGCAGCATCTTGCCCCGCTTAATGCTCCAATGGAAGTAGCCCACCACCTTCCTGCATTTTGAAATTTACTGGCTGGTAGTAGTAGTAACAGCACCATCACCATGAGCCCTGTCTCCCTCCAAGATGTCCCTATGAGGTGGAACTTGTGTGCCACACAGCAGATGCCAACAAAGCTGGCATTGCACACCACCTTCACTATATTTGTCCTGCTGTCGGTGACCATGAACCCATAGGTGAGCTTGGTCTCCCCAAAGAGCCACCTCTGCACCATGTGGTTCATGGCCACCATGATCTGCCTTGCTGTGTGGGATTTATCCATCACCTCTGCCTGAAGGAAAGCCCTGATTGCACCAGTGCCCTGTGAGGGAGAGGTAGGCATGATCTCCACCCTGGCTGCTCCAGATGTCTGAGGTGAAGTGCAAGGCTACCCGCGGGACTGCCTTCTGCAGCTCCTCCCTCAAGTACTCTTTGAGTATCTCATACAGGGAGGGCACCATTGTCCTGCTAAAGGTGCTGCGTGTGGGCACTTGAGATGATGGAGCACCATGAACCTTGGATGCTCAAAGAAGAAGAGCTGGCCATCTAGAGCAAGCATCTCCCCAATGCTCTGGGTAACCTTGCTCGCCTTGGGAATGCACTCCCTTTTGTCCCCACCTTTCCCCCACTGGTCCAGGGCAGCCTGCCTCTGCTTCTTGGGGAAGGAGGCTTAGGAGCAAGAGGGGGACTTCTTTTTGGGCATGCTCCCACTGGTGCCAAACTGAGGAGGAACAAGGGCAAGGGGGTGCTGCCTCCTGAGATGCAGCAGCATCGCTGAGGTGGTGAAATATTTTTCATCCTTGCCCTGGCTGATCTGCTTTTGGCATTGCTGGCAAGTAGCATACCTAGGATCATCTGCCACCTCAAAGTAATCCCACACTACACTATCCACCGGCTTCTGGGTTGCAGGTGGGGATCCTGCCTTATCCCCTCCTCACCAGGGAGAGGCACAACAGAAGGAGCTGAGCCACCTGCCCCCACAACCTCCTCTGAGATGCCTTTTGGAGAAGGAGACCTGCCTTTAGGGGAACTTTGAGGGATGTGGAACACAAACTCCTTCCCCAGAATTTCCTTGGCTATGGCACTCAGCTCCCCTGCTTCCAGATCCAGTTCCTCCTCTGGCACTGGAACACTCACACTGGCAACTGAAATTGGGGCGGAGAATGTCATGCTGCTGCTGGTTGTGGTTACTGGTGTTACTGGTGGTGCTGCAGGTACAAACACAGCTTCCATCTCCTTGCCCCCACTAGCAGCAGAAGACTCCTCGCTACCAGGAAAGAGGGCGCATCTATCTTGGAGGGCGGGGGGAAGACTTGTAGCTCTCCCTCAGCCCCCTCTCCCTCCCCTGCCAGAAGACCTGGCACCTGGCTTTCCAGCATGCTTCATGATGTATGGTGTGCTGCAAAATGTGTGCGTGTCCATGTGTAATATATGTTGTGCTTTCCTGTACAGTCGTCACACACTGCCAGGGAAAACACAGATTTTCTTTCTGTGGGGGGGAAACAGACAGGCTAACAAGAATAAATAAGAGACTATGGGGGGAACAATAAGCTGAAATGAATGGATAACAATATGGATTGTAGACAAGGGTAAATAGGAAAGGATTGGATAGAACTTGGTGGCAAGAGACTACCTACTACCAAGCCAGAACCCTTCAGATGCTGCTGCTGCTGCAGCCAGACAGCTCACAAAAGGCATACAGATGAGTTCACACACAGCCTTATATATATTGTTTCTATGTCCCTGCCCCAGAGCACTGCGATTGGAAGGGAACTCAGAGAAAGATAGATCAGTCACTGGCCAGCTACAGATGTCAATATCAGAGCAGTCTCCCCTCCGCACCCCCTCTTGTGAGTTTCTGTTTCCTGCGTGTCTGCCTTCCAAATCTCTGAATCTTTTCCAAATCAATTCAGAGGGTTTGATTCAATTTGGAGCTTTTAATGGGTCTCTCGATTCAATTTGGATTTGGAGATTTGGCTGCTGAATCTCCTCCAAATTGAATTGGCTACCAAAGCTTCGCACAGCCCTAATAATCAGGTACTTGGGCAGCAGACTCTTATTCCACGTACAGTTAGGCTCCAATTCAGGAAAACATCAAAATTAACTGCAAAAGGACTTAAGCATGTGATGAAAGTTAAGCCAATGTTTAAGTACTTTCCTGAATCAAGACTATAAATACCATCAGCCCGATTTAAAGATATCTGAAGTCAAGAAAAAGACTATCAATGATTTCCTTGCACATTGACTCAGGCCCCAAGTATGAAAAAAAAAATCAGAGGCCTGTTTAAAGAATCAGGTTACCATCTTGCTGTTGAATAATTCAGAAGACCAAGGTCAACCAATAGTTCTTCTCAGGTTTTGTGCTTAGACTGTCCACAAGTGATATCTAATTAAATGTGTTATGTCAAAACCATGGTACAGAAATATGTATGTATGGTATATATTATATATTTGTATGTAGTTACTAGTATATAAAGTTGTCTTGCTTTAGCAAAAATATTGTCTGTCGTATAGATTTATTGGAAAAAAAACAAACTTGCAAATGCAAATGACAAAACTTGTAATAAAAATCATGACGACTGATCACACCGTCAGTGAAATCATGCAAAGAAATATACAATACCCAAAAAGAAGAATGAGGAAGAAGCAAACACACAAAAGGCAGACCAAAAAAAAGAAAAACCGACTTAAAAAGTGAATACAAACAATTCTAAAATATTTCTTACCTTCTTCAGTCATTGTGTCATAATATTTTAGTTTTCCATATGATCCAAGCTCTATAACATCACAGTAAAAGACAAAGATAAGGAAGCAGTAGACATTAAAAAAATCTACATGTTTTCACGTGTACTTAATAAACTTCACAGTGATTATGTAAAATTCCTGCAGAAGTACAGGCAAACATAAATTGTCGAAATGGTGGACAGTGTTTTTTTCCCGAAATTTCCTACATCAGTTGCTTCAGTTAAGTGACTTGTCTACATGCAATATGGGGGGGCTGGGGGGAGGGAGAAGAGGGAGTACTGCAATCTAGGATAAAACTTTAACTTGTGACTAGTGACTTCTTGTGCAAAAGGGGTTGGGGTGGTGCAGGCATTAAGGTGCATGGTTGACAGCCTAGAGATCAAAAAGTTTGAGGCCGTAGCAGAAGCGCTTATGGCATGGCTCTGTCATATTTCAACAAATCTGCAAATTCTGCTAAATACCTTGTCATACAAGGACATGAAGACAGAAAAGAACTGATTTTGGGTGTTTCAATTTATGGGGCACAAATTTAAAACATCTGAAAGAGGCCTGATCAGCAAAGTGGTAAGAAGCTGCCTTTTAAGAGTCAAACTCTTTTCAAGTGCCTGAAGCTTGTCATTCAAAAATTAAAGCACCCCAAATGATGAGGTGCTTTTGGCAAGTCTGTTAAAATGGTTTAGATGTTGGACTGCTCCTAGAAGTAAATGTTCTTGCAATCAGACCTTGAATATACAAGCTTGGCCTCAGATTTATTATTTGAAAAATTAAGAGAAATATTTACTTACAATATGGGATGCTGAGAGGCATAATTAAATTGTGTTTTTAGAATACTGTATGGATGCACAGTATTTTATTTTCTGCCCAGAACAGAAGTATGGAGATGCTGTAAAATGGCTGCTGCTTCTTTTCTTTCTGTTCCTTCCAGCAGCCATATAGAGGGTGCAATGGAGTCCATCCAGGCAGATCTGAGGGGATGCAGTGGTGTGGTTGTATCCAACTTTGATTCCTGCTCTCCCCAGAGTTTAAAACCAAATGCCCAGCTGTGGCATTTGACTTCTTAGGTCATTATAATGTACTTGATTCCTGCTAATCTCTCTCTACTCTACAGGAGTTAATGACCCACTCTTTTTCATAATTTGATGTTCCACTAATCAATCTATCATTTATATGGCAATTTGGCTGTCTGTTAACTATTTCTGCTCTTTCTTCTCCTGTTGCACAGCCCTGCAGACTGTTTTAGTTATTTTCAAAATCCTAGATCTACCCATGCCTTCAGCAGAAGCAATAGTTTCAGCCTTCTCTTAGTGGCCAAGAACTGCTGAAAATTTAGCTGTGAAAAGCTGCAGGTTTTACCTGTGCAGGAAATAAATAAAACATTAGATTGTCTCTGCTCTATAAACTCTGGAAAAATATTGTTTTGGGAAGGCAGAATGAAGAAAAAAGGGTGCATATCTTATCAGGGAAGATGTGCTATGTGCTAAAATATGATTATCATGATCCTTCAGTAGCAAGGAAAGGAGTGAAGTCAGAACCATCCCATTCCCAGGCCTGTAGTAATTTCCCTAGATGACAGCATCTCTTCTTCCTTAAAAATGAACTTTGAAAAATAATTCTGATTATGAAAGTGGATTCTCCCGCTAATTTTGTATGATATACTATGAATAATTTCCAGTTTTCTAAAATGTCTTTCAGAAATTAATATAGTGAGGGTTTCAGAATCATGCAGAGTACCTCAGAAAAAAAATTTATGATCTGACTAATTTCTGATTCTCTATCTAAAACTTTAATAACTATGCTTTTGAGAACCAAAGATTTATCAATGGCATAACATTTTGAATATTTAGCCATCTGATAATACAGTTTTACTATACATTATCCTTTCTTCATATTCAGGACAGAGCTTAAGAAATTAATTATAAAAATAATAGTCTATTATTTTGTTTTTAGTCTATTGTTTGGCGAGGATGTACCTCATGTTCTCTTCAAACAGTTGTTTTCACCTGAGCAAATTACAATAGAAAACTTGCTTTTAGTTTTCAATGTCAAAACATTGGGACACTGTACAAATCTGTTTTTTATACAAATTTTTGTTTAGATTCCACTGCATACACCTGAATCTGTAGGATGAATATTTTTATGTCATATGTATAATGTGGATACTATTTATATGACACATTTTCATTGCCATTACGATTTTAAAGGTGTTATACAAATGACTACAGAAAACTGTTGGATGAATAATCTATATATTAACAATAATTGATCACATATATAGATATGTATTTATAAATGTTTGAACAATGTACTTTCTCTTTGTTTTTGCCCATACACACAAGCAGACAAGTATGTTTACGGGCATAAAGGTATATGAAATCTCAATTAGAGAAAAGACTGCAATCTATTAAAGAAAGGATTTTATATAGTTTTGCAAACAATTGTTTATGACTGCAGTATAGTTTTAGTTGTTGTATTATACTAAATAAATGCTCTTGTCCTTGTATCTTGATTTTACCCTAAAAATAAAAGGTGGTAGTTTAGGACCTGAATCCTTACCCATGCAGAACTCCCAGAAACTTCAGTGTGGATTTTTTTCAGTCAAGGAGCTCAGGGCTGAGCACATATTTTATTAGAACCCCGATTAGCTTAGCTACAGGATCCAAGTTAACTATTAATAGCTCTTCGTCTTTTAACAATATTATTTTTAACTCTGTTTCAATTTGCTTCTGATCAGACAATCTGCAGGCTAGGGAGAGAAGCTGGTGAAGCGTAAAGAGAGATAGTAAAGACAGAGGAAACCAAAGAAGGCCTTAAGGGAAATAGAAGATGTGAAATAGGATCAGGAAGTAAATGCAATATTGGAATACTGATAAGTGGGTGGATACAGCAATAAGGGAAGAAAGCAACTGTGGGAGACCACATATAGAGTGGTGATAGGAAGGGAATACAGGGTGCATCTACATGTCACCATATGGCGATGTTGCTATGGCACTGTGCTTTTGTACTTCCTTTTGGAAGTATTAAAGTGTGGCACAGTTAGATTTCACTGCTACGTTGCAGTAGCGGTGTGCTAAAATGGGAGAGTGTGCTATTATGGGGATGTAGATCCATGTGATCGCTATGTCGCTGTAGTACGCCATACAGCAATGTAGTGTGTTGCTATGTTGCCATAGGGCAACATGTAGACACACCCACAGTGTATGAAAGACGGTATCTCCCAAAGTCTGAAATGGAGTATAACTGAAACATGAGTCTGGAAAGAGAGCAGCATAAGAGAGGATATGCTGCTAGTAATGAAATGGGACATGGGTTTTTGAAAGGAGCCAGCAATTCTATTCTAATATTATAAAAGCCTAAGTCTGTCTATCTGTAATGCTTTATTCACACTCTGATTGGCTGTCTCAGCACAAGGGGGCAGGGAATGGGGTTGGGACCACCCCAGGGGGGGAGGGGGGAGACGGGGTGGAGCAGCCCTGGGCCTGAACCTGAACCACCGGGGGGGGAAGTGGGATTGGGCCCAAATGTGGGGGCAGGGCTAGATGAGGGGAGACAGGGTGCACAGCCAGACACTGGGCTCTGTCCCTGCTGGCCCCCAGAGCAGTGGGGGCAAGGGTGAGGGTGAGTAAGCCTGGCCCCATGCCTCTGTCCCTGCCCAGCCCCCGCCCCCTGGCAGGCAGCGGAGATGGAGCAGATGGAGGGGGGGCACCAGCCCTGTCCCCCCTGCAGACCACACACTCCCAGCCCTGCAGGCAGCAGTGACAGAATGAACGGGGGGGGGCGGTGCCAGGAGACAGAGAGGGGGGTGGCCCGGCCAGGCTCTGAAGTGGCAGGGGGGATGGTTCCAGCTGCCAAAGGTGGGGGGGAGGGCCAGACGCAGGCCTCTGTTCCCAGCTACCCTTCCCTCCCCCTGCCTGTAATTCTTGGGCAATTGGCTACTGGGAAGATAAGGATGACAGTGCCAGATATCCAGGAGACAGAAAAAGTGATGATAGATGAACATGGCAGGAAAATATGCTTGAGATCAGGGTTAATTCCATTATTGTTGCTATTTCAACTGAAATGACAGACTTGGACAAACAGGAAGAAAAAAAAGAAAAGACTCAGACTTAAACAGAAAGAAGACAAGTGTCATGGAGCGCAGTCCTAGGGGTGGCCGTGATCTCCCCTAGCGCCCCCTTACCGTGCCAAGTTCGCTTCAAAGCATCCTTGAATCTTGCCCGCTATGTCTTGATCTTATGTATATTAAAGGAAGGCTGCCCCTTGTCTTCTTGGTCACAGTTCTCCTGCTACCCTGAGTCTTGTTTCTATAATGGGGTTCCGAACACCCCAGCCTTATGGGCTATGTGTGGCTCCAACTGCCCCTTTACCAAACCCCAAGCCTCACAGATGTACCAGACATTGTTTGGTCTTAGCTGCAGCCCTTGCCTCTCTCTCTGTGCCCCCACAGGCGCTCGGGCCCTCCACAGTCTTCTCTCTCACAGCGCCCCCACAGGTGCTTGTCAGTCGCTGCCCCCTTTGGCCGGGGCTCAGGCTTTCCACAGCCTTGGGGGCTCAGGTGGCCATAGCCATGCCTGGCCCCAACTCTCCTCATTGGGGTCTCAAACCCTCCTGCAGGGCACAGGCAGCCTCAGCCTTACCCGGCCTCCAACTCTCCACACGTCCTTCTCTGGGGATGGGGTCAATGCCCCCCAAAATGCTGCGCCCTCTCTGGTGCCAGGGCCCCCACGCTACTCTGGGTCCCCTGCGAGGCCTCCTCCAACCCCTAATAGCCTCACCCAAACCACCAGTAGTAAACAGAAGACTCAAGCCCCTTGGCTATAACATAAACCCAAGCCATCTGGCTTTAACAACGTTCGAACCACTCCAGGGCTTCTCCATCTCTCACCAGTATTGCATTTTTCAGTCATTCAGGCCTCTTCCTTTTCCTCACTCAGGCAGAGCTCCTACCCCCATGACTGCTGGCATGGAACTACCTACCTGGCCTCAGCCTGGGAGTTATATAGGAGCCAGGCCCTGACCCTTCCAGTCAGCTGAC